TCCAAATTAGGGACTAATGTGATCTTAATGAGATATGTCACAGCTATTAGTCCCATGAAAGATCCAAATTAGGGACTAATGTGATCTCGAAGGCAATGCAGCTCATCCCGAGCCCTTGCAACCATCTCACTAAATGAAGGCCTATCATTGAATAGCACAGGCACGCTTTGCATGTCAATAAACTCAACATATCCATAGCGATTGTATTCAACGGTGCCTCCATGATATATGGTCACTAGGTTGTCCATCTAGTTCAAACACATAACGAAACACATGTCCTTTAGTCCAAATTAGACGATAGATAGTACCTAACAAGTACTTTCTAACTACAAACTAAGTAAATAAGATAATAACTACGTATATATATACAATGTACTTACAAAATAACTATATCTATATACCTATGTATCTATGTTTCTATCTATCTACATATCTAACTATATCTATCTATGTTTCTATCTATCTATATATCTAACTATATCTATGTACCTATGTATCTATGTTTCTATCTATCTACATATCTATCTCACTAGATCACTAACTAAATCAATTACCTGAGTCATCACATTAACTAGTAAATAACAAATAATCGAACTACTACATTACAATCAAAGCTAACTAAGCACCTACATTGCATATTCACAATTTTTACATGGTGCGCCCGGGCGCTGCAGGGCCCGGGGACGGCGCGGTCGCGGGCGCGGGCGCGGCCGGGGATGGCCGGTGCGGGCTCGGGCGCGAGGCCGGCGCGGGCGGTGACGGTCGCCGAGGGTGCGGGCGCAGGCGCGGACGGCCGGCGCGGGCGCGCGGGTGCGGCGGCGGCGGCATGGGAGCGGGTGGGGTGGACGGTGCGGGCGGGGACGGTGCGGGCTGGGACGGTAGAGAGAAAGAGAGAAGAAGAGATAAAGGAACCTCGGGTCCATACGTAAGAGGGTTGGGCGCCAGGATTGTTGGCGCCGAGCTCGGCGCCAAGATTCACGGCGTCGAGCTGGCTACCATGTCAGCGTCCATGGCGCCAACGTGGCTCCGAGCTCGACGCCAGCAACGCTGATACTGAGCTAAGGGTCCAGATTTTGAAATCATATCTCCAGGAGCATATTTGTGAATTTTTTTCAAAAAAAGAGCTAAAAATAAAAAAAACGATCAAAGCGCTGCAGCCTGCAGGTGTGCAATTCAAGTTGATTCTAATTTTTCAATGGTATTTCTTAATGATAATCTTTGATTAGCAAACGGTTTTCACCATATTTTGGCACCACCGTGAATTCGTCACCGCCATTTCATGAAATTTATATAGAAAAAAAGTTTTCTACCATAATCTAAAAGCGGACCTTGTCAGGAGTGGTATTTCTTTTAAGCTTCAAAACACAGTCAATATGGGTCATAATTTGAAGATTTAATCGAGACAAACATATGGAAACGATTTGCTAATCAAAACTTACCGTAAGGAAATATCATGGAAAAACTAAAAAGTACATAGTTTGCTTGCATGACGGTGCTTTATTGTGACGTGTGTGGAGAGGTGAGAGAAACGTGACTGCGTTCTGTGTTGGCTGCTGGTACTGTAGTTCACGAGAAGCTAGCTGTGTTGGCTGCATGGTGACTAGTGCTCACCCCTCTCTCTCTCTCTCTCCCCTCGCGTCACTTTGTGTGGATTTTCTTATCCTTTCAAAATGCAATATCTTACCAATCGCAAGTTCGTTTGATTAACCGTTTGAACTTTGAAGACTATTGATGGAAATAATGTGCCGAATAAAATGAGATCCATTGAGGCTACATTTTGACATTTTTTTTCAAATGTGGGGCCCACGTGCCACTTATTTTTTTAGTATAAAAATATAGTCAATATGGGTCTTATTTTGTAGATAAAACCAATACCAATAATATGATGCAAAAAAATGAAAATGAGTTATGTGGTTTAGGAAATGATATGGCATAAAGCTTTTGCATGCATGGGGTGATTTGATGAATGCTAAAAAGTGACGTGAGGGGAGTGAGGAGGTGTGAGAAATATGAGAGTTGTTAGGACGGCAGGGCGCTACCGTGACTTGCATGTGGGCGAATTGGAGCAAGTCTACAGCCTCGTGTTTGCTGTCCACTCCCGTGCCTGGCTTGTGTTTGGGGCGGTGGTAGCTATCACCCGTGCGGGGTAGAGTACACCGTTTGTACCACAATATTTTTAATATATTTATTCATTTACATGCAAAATTTAAGATACAAACTCATTTCATACAAATTTCACTTGTATGTGCACTACAAGACAAAAACTCTGGATTTTTGTCTTCTAGTATAAATACACATGAATTTTGCTATTTTCATATGATTTTTAAAAAATATTTTGCAACTCAACTTTTTTGTGTGAGTTCATGTATGGACGAATTACAGATGTACCAAGTTTCAAAACTTTTCAAGTGATGAAAGCGTATTTAAAAAAATGTGAATGGAGACTATTAGAAAACATCGCGCGGCGTCGTGCATTGCTCTCGTTGGTTGGTTATTAGTCAGGAAAATATGAACCAAAACAAATTTAAAAGTGGTCTCACTTGCTGGCCCGTGCGCTGCAATTTGACAGTCTAGGGAGCAAAGGCCTTCTCTGTTCGCTTGCCTCATCACCTAGCCTTTGCTTCCTAATGCAAATATACACCAGAGAAAAATAAAGTATAAAAGTGTTTATATTGATTTAAAAATAGTTCAGAATTCTTGATGTAAAATTATCTTCTATCTTTTAGAAGATACATTTTCGAAACGATTAGAGGGTCCCAACAAATATGCTTTCAATTTTTTTTAGCCACTTATAAAACTCATTGGTTTACCAATTAATTTTTTAGGAACTATTAGAGATGGAGCTGTTTGGAAGCCTAGTTTAAATCTAAAACAGATGTAAAAGACATGCCTTTATTATTTTCCAACCTGAATTAAAAATAGCTGCTTGGATGTGGTGTAAATAAACACCCGGTTTGGTCCAATACATCAAGATGGAAGATACATCTTGAACTTATTTACAAAGTATTTTCTAAGATGCCAAATAGAACCTTAGATTGAACTAGATGGACCATCCAGCGGTACCCTACCTCACGTGCTTGACCACTCCGGTGCCGCATGACTCGGCTTGCAGCACTAGAACTCTACTATTCCCTGTATTCCAAAGTATAGGTCAGTTTGACTTTTGTGGTACATATATTTTATTATGCATCTAGATATAATAATATATCTAGCAAAAATGAATGAACCAAAAAAACCAAAGCAACTTATAATTTAAAACGAAGGGAGCAGAGAGAGAGAGGGTTGTTTTTTGTTTTTGTTTTTTGTTTTTTTTATAACGAACTCTAGAAGGTTTGTTTTTTTTCTACATGAGAGAACACGGCACACGCACGCGCTACAGGCGGACAGGCCCATCCTCTCCCTCTTCCGGTTCTAGAATCCAGACTTCCAGTACTCCCAAAGACGGCCAGACCGCCAGAGTAGGGGGCAGGGGTTTCTGGGACGAGGGTTTTACCTGTGTGCCATTATAAAAGATGGTAATTACTTATAGAGCACTAAAAAGTTTGAACGTACCTAGACGTCATCGGCCGGAACTTTTTTGTCGTCTACGTCATTCCGTCCACATTCACTGCTAATGGTGGCTAACGGAGCTGTGAAAAGACTTAAATGCCCTCAGGCTAGAGAAGCGAGGTAAAGTTCTGTTTTCCCCCTATGCCACTCACTGGCTGAGTGTTTTGGCAGCAAACTAATTGCCGTTGACCATTCTTGACCGCACTAATTTAATTAGTATTTAAATTATTTGTAATATTTTTTATTTTGAATATCATAAATTTGAAAATCTTGCTACACAACATATTCAGACAGCAATATTTTCGAGGACTAAAATCAAAACAAAAATAATATTAAGTTAAACTAAATATTGAAAAACAAAAACAATATCATCAGACATCTCCTTGTATTAGCAAGCATAATTTTAAAAATGTCAAACAATCCTTTTCAAACAAGAGAATATGGAGCGGGTGGCAGCCCGTGGTTTAGGCATTCGCTCGAACATGTGGTGTGCATGTGCGTCTTCCTTCGGCATCACCGCAAAGATGCAGGGGCCTAGTTTCAAAAAAAAAAAAAAAAGATGCAGGGGCCTACTACTGTGCACACCGTGCTCCCACCGGCATTCTCCATCCTCCCGCCCAACCATCTACTATGCACGCATCGCACGAGGGGCACCGATCGATCGATCCCTCGAGAAGCGGAGGCCCAGCCATCTGCAAGTACCAGTAGCCCGCCCCTGCCCGCACGCATACACAGAGACAGAGACAGATGCGGGTGCTCACGGCGGCACCTTGTGGCCGACCTCACGCCCAAGGCAACCCCCGCGGAACGGCAAGGCCGACGAGGCCGTGGCGGTCGCCGAGCGCTCGCTGCGCGTGCTGCTTGGCCGCGGCCGACGCGCTGCGGGACCGGCACAGCACACTGCGCGCCGTCGTCGGGCTGCTCGCACCAATCACGGACATCGGACGGGAGAAGAGTAGCGGGGAGCACCGGAGTGGGGACCACCGCCGAGGTCGCCACGCTCGCCGGCCGCCGCCATCCGCTGTGGTAGCTGAGCTCCAGCCTCCGCGGCTGCCGGCTCCGCCAAGGCCTACAGGTCACTGCCCAGGCCCCCAGGCGGCCCAGCGCCAAGGGCAGCGCGGCTGCTCCTGGCTCGCAATCGGGTGAAGGAGAGGATAAGGCACGGGAGAGAGGGGGGCATTTTGGATATGTTCACTGACAGGTCCCGCCGCCAGAGCTCTCACTGTGAAAACCAAAACGGAACATTGACGGAAATGGCATGAACGACGACGAAGTTACGGTAGATGGCAGCTGAGAGTGCTTGAATTTTCCAGTGGCACGTAACTAATTGATGGCACACGTGAAGGCCCCTCTTCCTGGTAGCTTCGCCCGGGATCATGGGTTGATTGATTTGCTGCTAGTAGGCAGCCTGCCATTTCCTGAGAGAAGAGAGGGAAGGAAGGAGAAGGAAGATGATGACCTCGTGGCTTCTGGGCCGGCGGGGCCCCTCCGGCTTCTCCTGGAGCTCCACCGCCGACCAAATCACGCAGGGCATCTCCGCCGCCGGCCTCACCGCCATCGTCACGGGTCCGTACTTATTCCTTCCCCCAACAAGTTCTTCTTCCTTCTCCAACAGCAAATCCCATCCCAAAACCCCTCTAATAACCTTTACTAATAATCCAACCCAACCCAATCCCATCCAGGGGCATCCAGCGGCATCGGCGCCGAGACGGCGCGGACGCTGGCGCTGCGCGGGGCCCACGTCGTCATGGCCGTCAGGAGCCTCCCCGCTGCCCAGGCCGTCAAGGACGCCGTCCTCGCCCAGGCGCCGGAGGCAAAGCTCGACGTCATGGAGCTCGACCTCTCGTCCATGGCCTCCGTCCGCGCCTTCGCGTCCCAATTCATCGAAAGGGTCTCCCCCTCAACATCCTCATGTATGTATTCTGTTCATATTAATTATTGCCTGCTCTGTTATTTTTCCAACGAGGGACCAGGGGGATGCACCATGCTGCCAACCGTCGTCCTTTGAGGATAAATAGAGCGCGACCTAGGATGAGTTATGACTCCTAACCGATCACTAAGCCAGTCACGTGTTTAGTTCTCACCCTAAAAACTTTACACTCTGCCACATCAAATGTTTAATTAAATATAGACTAAAAAATAACTAATTATATAGTTTACGATTAATTTACGAGACGAATCTTTTAAGTCTAATTAGTCCATAATTTGACAATAAAGTGCTACAGTAATACATGTGCTAATGATGGATTACGTGACATCCTAGAACTTTACATTCTGGATGCCTAATTCAATCAGGAGAACGATAAACATGTGATGCCTATTCTGCTAGTACCACGTCAATCAGTCCACTCCGTGCCTGGCTTGTTTTGGGGCGGTGGTAGCTATCACCCGTGCGGGGTAGAGTACACCGTTTGTAGCACAATATTTTTAATATATTTATTCATTTACATGCAAAATTTAAGATACAAACTCATTTCATACAAATTTCACTTGTATGTGCACTACAAGACAAAAACTCTGGATTTTTGTCATCTAGTATAAATACACATGAATTTTGCTATTTTCATATGATTTTAAAAAAAATATTTTGCAACTCAACTTTTTTGTGCGAGTTAATGTATGGACGAATTACAGATGTACCAAGTTTCAAAACTTTTCAAGTGATGAAAGCGTATTTAAAAAAATGTGAATGGAGACTATTAGAAAACATCGCGCGGCGTCGTGCATTGCTCTCGTTGGTTGGTTATTAGTCAGGAAAATATGAACGAAAACAAATTTAAAAGTGGTCTCACTTGCTGGCCCGTGCGCTGCAATTTGACAGTCTAGGGAGCAAAGGCCTTCTCTGTTCGCTTGCCTCATCACCTAGCCTTTGCTTCCTAATGCAAATATACACCAGAGAAAAATAAAGTATAAAAGTGTTTATATTGATTTAAAAATAGTTCAGAATTTTTGATGTAAAATTATCTTCTATCTTTTAGAAGATACATTTTCGAAACGATTAGAGGGTCCCAACAAATATGCTTTCAATTTTTTTTAGCCACTTAGAAAACTCATTGGTTTACCAATTAATTTTTTAGGAACTATTAGAGATGGAGCTGTTTGGAAGCCTAGTTTAAATCTAAAACAGATGTAAAAGACATGCCTTTATTATTTTCCAACCTGAATTAAAAATAGCTGCTTGGATGTGGTGTAAATAAACACCCGGTTTGGTCCAATACATCAAGATGGAAGATACATCTTGAACTTATTTACAAAGTATTTTCTAAGATGCCAAATAGAACCTTAGATTGAACTAGATGGACCATCAGCAGTACCCTACCTCACGTGCTTGACCACTCCGGTGCCGCATGACTCGGCTTGCAGCACTAGAACTCTACTATTCCCTGTATTCCAAAGTATAGGTCAATTTGACTTTTTTGGTACATATATTTTACTATGCATCTAGATATAATAATATATCTAGCAAAAATGAATGAACCAAAAATACCAAAGCAACTTATAATTTAAAACGAAGGGAGCCGGAGAGAGAGGGTTGTTTTTTTGTTTTTTGTTTTTTGTTTTTTTATAACGAACTCTAGAAGGTTTTTTTTTTCTACATGAGAGAACACAATGCCTGCACATGAGGATCTCAAGTGGAGTGGACAGGCCCGTCCTCTCCCTCTTCCGGTTCCAGAATCAGACCACTTCTCCCAAAGGTGGCCATTCCGCGTAGTAGAGGCGGGGTTTCGGGACGAGGGTTTTCCTAATCATGTGTGCCATTATAAAAAAATGGTAATTATCTATAGACCACTAAAAAGTTTGAAGAATTGTCTAGGCGTCATTGATGAAACTTTTTGTCCTATCATTATAGTCCACATTCACGGCTAATGGTGGCTAACGAAGCCGTGAAAAGACTTAAATGCCCTCAAAGCAGAGAAGCGAGGTAAAGTTGGTTTTTCCCCTATGCCACTCACTGGTTGAGTGTTTTAGTGGATTATGATTGCCGTTGACCATTCTTGACCGCACTAATTTAATTAGTATTTAAATTATTTGTAATATTTTTTATTTTGAATATCATAAATTTGAAAATCTTGCTACACAACATATTACAAGCAATATTTTCGAGGACTAAAATCAAAACAAAAATAATATTAAGTTAAACTAAATATTGAAAAACAAAAACAATATCATCAGACATCTCCTTGTATTAGCAAGCATAATTTTAAAATGTCAAACAATCCTTTTCAAACAAGAGAATATGGAGCGGGTGGCAGCCCGTGGTTTAGTTGACTGTTGGAAGCTTCTCCTAGAACGCTTAGATTATAATCTGCTAGAAGATTTTGGCTTTTCGCTGTGCTCGTTTTCAAATCTATTCAAGCCTACACCCAACATAGCGAGAAAGGTGTAAATCTGCAGTCTGTTTAGTAGGTTTGTAATTATTTCCACCGATAAACCGCTTATAAGCGGAAACAAACAGGGCCTAAGGCATTCGCTCGAACATGCGGTGTGCATGTGCGTCTCCTTCGGCACCACCGCAAAGATGCAGGGGTCTAGTTTCAAAAAAAAAAGATGCAGGGGCCTACTACTGTGCACACCGTGCTCCCACCGGCATTCTCCATCCTCCCCCCGCCCAGCCATCTACTATGCACGCATCGCACGGGGGGCACCGATCGATCGATCCCTCGAGAAGCGGAGGCCCAGCCATCTGCAAGTACCAGTAGCTCGCCCCTGCCCGCACGCATACACAGAGACAGAGACAGATGCGGGTGCTCACGGCGGCACCTTGTGGCCGACCTCACGCCCAAGGCAACCCCCGCGGAACGGCAAGGCCGACGAGGCCGTGGCGGTCGCCGAGCGCTCGCTGCGCGTGCTGCTTGGCCGCGGCCGACGCGCTGCGGGACCGGCACAGCACACTGCGCGCCGTCGTCGGGCTGCTCGCACCAATCACGGACATCGGACGGGAGAAGAGTAGCGGGGAGCACCGGAGTGGGGACCACCGCCGAGGTCGCCACGCTCGCCGGCCGATCCGCTGTGGTAGCTGAGCTCCAGCCTCCGCGGCTGCCGGCTCCGCCAAGGCCTACAGGTCACTGCCCAGGCCCCCAGGCGGCCCAGCGCCAAGGGCAGCGCGGCTGCTCCTGGCTCGCAATCGGGTGAAGGAGAGGATAAGGCACGGGAGAGAGGGGGGCATTTTGGATATGTTCACTGACAGGTCCTACATGTCAGAGCTCTAGACTGTGAAAACCAAAACGGAACATTGACGGAAATGGCATGAACGACGACGAAGTTACGGTAGATGGCAGCTGAGAGTGCTTGAATTTTCCAGTGGCACGTAACTAATTGTCATCTTTTGTAATGGCACACGTGAAAAACCCTCTTCCTGGTAGCTTCGCCCGGGCGGCGGGGTTGACTGATTTGCTGCTAGTAGGCAGCCTGCCATTTCCTGAGAGAAGAGAGGGAGGGAAGGAGAAGGAAGATGATGACCTCGTGGCTTCTGGGCCGGCGGGGCCCCTCCGGCTTCTCCTGGAGCTCCACCGCCGACCAAATCACGCAGGGCATCTCCGCCGCCGGCCTCACCGCCATCGTCACGGGTCCGTACTTATTCCTTCCCCCAACAAGTTCTTCTTCCTTCTCCAACAGCAAATCCCATCCCAAAACCCCTCTAATAACCTTTACTAATAATCCAACCCAACCCAATCCCATCCAGGGGCATCCAGCGGCATCGGCGCCGAGACGGCGCGGACGCTGGCGCTGCGCGGGGCCCACGTCGTCATGGCCGTCAGGAGCCTCCCCGCTGCCCAGGCCGTCAAGGACGCCGTCCTCGCCCAGGCGCCGGAGGCAAAGCTCGACGTCATGGAGCTCGACCTCTCGTCCATGGCCTCCGTCCGCGCCTTCGCGTCCCAATTCATCGAAAGGGGTCTCCCCCTCAACATCCTCATGTATGTATTCTGTTCATATTAATTATTGCCTGCTCTGCTGCCAACCGTCGTCCTTTGAGGATAAATAGAGCGCGACCTAGGATGAGTTATGACTCCTAACCGATCACTAAGCCAGGCACGTGTTTAGTTCTCACCCTAAAACTTTACACTCTGCCACATCAAATGTTTAATTAAATATAGACTAAAAAATAACTAATTATATAGTTTACGACTAATTTACGAGACGAATCTTTTAAGTCTAATTAGTCCATAATTTGACAATAAAGTGCTACAGTAACACATGTGGATTACGTGACATCCTAGAACTTTACATTCTGGATGCCTAATTCAATCAGGAGAACGATAAACATGTGATGCCTATTCTGCTAGTACCACGTCAATCAGTCTATTCGAGTCTGGATCTCTCTAGTACCACGCCAGCCTGTTCGTTTGCTCGTAAACGATCGTAAATTTTCAGCCGGGAACAGTGTTTTTCTCTCACACCAAACCAGCCAGCAGTAAATAATCCACGATATGATACGGCCTCCCGAACAGGCTAGGATGACAATTTACTATTGCCTGTACTTTCAGGATACTGTATCATGATAGATTCAGCCTCATATACTGTACGTACATGTATATACACCAAATTGGATATGGTTATTATTGCGAATGCTAGTATGATCTTCCACATTTTCTTGGGATGTGATACAAATGGGTGTCTTAGTGTGTAGTAGGGGTGATTCATGTGGTGAGCGGTGGGCACTTCGTTGTGTAAGATGTGCCTGAAAGCTATCAAATCCCTCCTTGCTTACCACTCTATGTTTGGCTGTCCATCATTGGAAATTAGAGGAGGGACATGTTAATTGCATACTATTTTGTCTTAGGTAGCATTTGTTTAGTTTTCGTGATTCTTGTGCTTGAGATTTTTCTTATGCATGTTCTAATAATCTGACTTGGTATATTGATAGGTCTGCTAATTCAGTTCTGGTTTTCTTGACGTTTGTTCAAAGTGTTGCTTCAGTATATCTCATGGCATTTAATTGATTACTTGGCCCTTCTGCTGGCAGCAACAATGCAGGAGTAATGGCAATACCTTTTGCGCTTTCAAAGGATGGAATTGAGATGCAATTTGCAACTAATCATGTTGGTACGCATTCGGTACACTTGACTGCTTGATTAATCCATTGTGTGTATGGATTTTTCCTACTTCAAATCATATAGCAATGTATTGCATGTGCAAGTCTAGCACTCAGACCGCTGCAATTTTCTACCTGACCTAACACTCAAGAGTTTTGATTCATCATGGTGTTTAGACACAATTTTACTAAACTGCGGCTCTAATTTCATAATCTTCAGGGCATTTCCTGCTGACACACCTTCTATTAGATACCATGAAGAAGACCTCTCGTGAATCAAATGTGGAAGGAAGAATTGTCAACGTTTCGTCAGAGGGGCACAAACTTGCATATGGGGAAGGCATCCGTTTTGACAAGATCAACGATGAATCGGTGTATGTAATTGCTGTGCAATTATTATGTTCTACAGTCTAGTCTACTTCGTTTCGAAGTAAATGTAGCCACTTGTTCAATCTTGTGTTGGGCAGGTATAGTAGCATTGGAGCATATGGTCAGTCAAAGCTTGCAAACATCTTGCATGCTAATGAACTTGCCAGGCGATTCCAGGTATCTCTTGTTCCGTCTAACTCATGCCCTCTTTCTTGATCATATGGTGTATGTATAGTTATAGTACATTTGTATGCATTGTATCATGGATCCTGCGTTTGTGACCAACATCACTTGCATTATGTTTCAAAGATGTCTGCATGTGAATTTTGAAAATTGTAACTTTTGGTAAATAAAGATCATTGGGCAGTGAGTTGTTCCGATTTGGATGTGGAAATTTGAGTGCATTCAATGCTAATCTTGGTGAACAATCATCATCCAATCACAAGAATTGTAATGTTCCAGATTTTGCTGATTATATATCTCTTTACAGTTACCATTCAGTTTCCAATTTATTAGGGTGTTCTATAACTATTTTTCTGTCCATCTATTATACAATATTTTGTCTGACAGGAAGAGAATGTCAACATAACTGCAAATTCTCTTCATCCTGGCTCCATTATCACGAACCTTCTTCGCTACCACAGTATCCTAGATGGTAATTATAATTGGCATTCTTTCCACAACGTTTAGCTCTCCTGGTCTTATAAACTGAAAGGGAAACATAAATATTTGGCTAGTTTAATAGAACTTACTGAACTATGTCAGTTTATGCTTATTATTTTTATGAACAAACCATGGCAATTAGGAGGGCATAGAAGGAACTTTGAAGGTTAGATCCATATGCATAAGAAAGACAGCAATCAAGATAATTTAAATTATCAGCAATTGAGAATGTGAATGATGTTTTTCACTTGGTTGCAGTAACAGCCTGATAGAATTTGTTGTGCTTCACTAATTACGTCTTTTTCAATTGACATTGATAACATCTTTTTCAATCGACACTGATTACATTGAATTTTCTGCTGAATGCAGTTCTCCATCGTACGCTTGGTAAATTGGTGCTGAAAAATGCTGAGCAGGTATTTTTTTTATTTTAAGTCTTCAGGGTCTTTTCGCATTTTAGTTGTTTATTAGGTATTTGAGACTAGACCTGACGTTGCATTTTGCTAATCTATCGTTTGCTGGTAGTAGCAGTATTGCTTGCTGCTTGCTGCATTTTGAGGTAGTGGTAGTATTGAGACATTAGAATAAGCTTCCGTGTAGATCAGCGACATTGCATCCGGCAGAACTGGCAACCATTATGTTAAATCAGAAGAGGTACAGGAACATCTTAAAAGTAGTATATCCATATTGTGATCTGACAGTACCATCACCATGCGTCAAGTTGCTATGGGTACTCATCTGGCAAAATCTTCACTCGTGGAAAAACAGTTGGAGGTCATTCTTATAGCACCATCATGTCACCTACTCCCTCCGTCCCATTGAGTTTGTCGCTCGGGAAGCGGGATTGTGAGGGGGGCACGGTTTTCAAACGACAAACTTAATGGGACGGAGGGAGTACACTTTGCCGTGTCGTGCCGTGCAACTTAACGGTCTGCTGTACAACTACACCCCCACTAGTGCTTACTAAAGCCTGTGATCTGTGCTAGGTGACATGATGGCTTTGTGTACACTGCAAATCTAGATTTCACCAGCAATAGGCTATAGTTATCTCTGAGCTGCCGGTATCATGTAATCATGTGCTGCTGGCTACACGGTGCATATTGGTCCCTCGGCTGCCCTGCATAGGTAAGTAGTAAGTTTATCAGCACACTCACTCATTATGGTTAGAGGTAGAAGAAAATATTGAGAACAGCTCACACACACAACAAAGCCTAGTGCTAACCGAAAGCTCTGCTTCTGGATGTGGCAAACTGAATTGCTCTTTTGCATTACCTTAGGTGTGATATATATACAAGTGCTAGTACCTCTACTAGGTATATAGTTGTTGGTGAGTACACCAACTACTTACTCCTAGTACTAGCAGTACAAAGCTTAGATCAGTCCACTACCAAGACATGGCTGATGAAATAGCTACCAACTAATGTACTAGAGGTGGCCTATTGCCATACTGCTACAGCAGTAGAGACTGGACAGCCAAGCTGACCAAATGCCAACTCTGCTACAGCAAGAGAGAGAGATCAGCAACAGATTATGTCTTACAATTCTTTCCCTAATCCTGCTGCTAACCCGATGCCTGGACCTCATCCATGCCAATCATCTTCCTCAGTTCCATGAACCGCAGGCGCCCGAGTGACTTGGTGAGAATGTTAGTGAGCTGTCTGCCGGTCTCGACGAACTCGATGACGATCTGTTCTCCATTGATGCAATCCCGGAAGAAGTGAAACTTGATGTCAATGTGCTTGCTCTGGTCATGGAGGACAGGGTTCTTGGCGAGGGCGATGGCGGGTTAGTTGTCCACCATTAGAGCTGGCGGGTGAGCTTCCTCGCAGGTCAGCTCGCCCAGCAGCCTGCGCAGCCAGACAGCCTGGCACGCTGTTGTGGCTGCTGCGACGTACTCCGCCTCGCACGTCGACAGCGCTACGATCTTTTGCTTCAGCGACTGCCAAGCAATGGGGGTCGCTCCAAGGAAGACGAGCAGCCGGTGGTGCTCCGTCGCCCGTCGATGTCGCCCGCCATGTATGCGTCGCTGAAAACAGTGAGTTTCGGCTCACCTTCCTTTGCCTTGGGGGGTGCCTCACTGAAGACTGTGAGCCGCAACCCACCCTTGCCGCCACTCTTGGGGAAGATGATCTCTTGATCGAGCATCCCCTTGACGTAGCGCAGCAGCCTCTTCACCGTCGTCCAGTGATCCTTGCGCGGGTCCTCCATGAAGCGACTGACATACCCGACCGCGAACGTGATGTCCGGTCGAGTATGCGTGAGGTAGCGCAGCCCTCCGACGATGCTCCGGTAGCGCGTCACGTCCACCTTCGCCGCCATGCTGTGCTTGGACAGCTTCAGCCGCTCCTCCATTGGAGTTGGGCACGGCTTGCACTCCGCCATGCCACTGCACTCCAGCAGCTTCTCCGCATAGGCGCGCTGGCCTAGGGAGATGTGCTCCTTCCCCTGCCTCACCTCAATGTCAAGGTAGTAGGAGAGCGCGCCGAGATCGCTCATTTTGAATTGAGCAGCCGTCTTGCGCTTGAAGCCGTCGATGTCCTCCGCCTACGCTCCAGTGACGATCAAGTCGTCCACATACACGCCGACGATGAGCAGCTCCTTCCCCCGTCGCCACGTGTACAGCACGTGCTCTGTGGCGCATCGAGTGAACCCAAGCTCGTCCAAGGTGGCGTCCCACGCTCGAGGGGCCTGCCGCAGCCCGTAGAGTGCCTTGCGTAGCTTGAGCACCTTGTGCTCAGCGCCCTTGACGGCGAAGCCTGGAACTTGCTTGACGAAGACCGTCTCCGCGAGCTCGCCGTTGAGGAACACAGACTTGACGTCGAGGTGGTGGACACGCCAATCCTTCGCTGCTGCCATGGCCAACAGCAAGCGAACGGACTCCATTCGCGCCACCAGAGGAAAGACTTCCTCAAAGTCAATGCCCTCACGCTGTACGAAGCCGCGGGTGACGAGCCGAGCCTTGTACTTGAGAATGGCGCCGCGCTCGTCCCATTTCACCTTGTAGACCCACTTCAACCCGATCGGTCTGCAGCCCACCGGTGGATCCACCAGCTCCCATGTCCCATTGTCCTCGTTGGCTTTCATCTCTTCCAACATCGCCCAGCGCCAATTGTCGTCGTGTTCCGCCACTGCAAACGTCGGTGGCTCCTCTACACTAACAAGGAGCAGCTCTGGGTTGTCGAGAAAACGACTGACCAACCCAGGAGCTCCCCCTTCGCCGACGATGTTGTCCAACCGCCTGAACCAGACCTCGCCATCGTGGAAAGCGTCCACGTACTCGTCGATGTCGGTGGGTGGAGAGGTGAACTCGATCGGTGGTCCATGGCCTCCCTGTTCTGCCGGAGTGGTCGACATTGCTGCTAGACCGCTCGGCACCACTGCCGGAGTGGTCGGATCCACTGCTGGAGCGGTCGGCACCACTCCTAGAATGGTCGGCTCCACTGCTGGAGCGCTCGGCACTGCTGTTGAAGTGTTCGGCACCTCCTCTGGAGTGGTCGGCATTGCTGCTGGACCGCTCGGCACCACTCCTACGGTGGTCGGCACCTCTTCTCCAGTGTCTCCACCACCGTGGATGACTAAGTGTTCGACGACGAAGGTGTTGCTCAAGCTGCCAGCTTCCCCTGTGCCCGGACCCTCCCAGTCCTAGGCCACCATCTCATCGAACACTACATCCCTAGAGATCACCACCTTGCCTCTCTTGAGATCATAGAGCCGATACGCCTTGGTGCCCTCCTCGTAGCCCAGGAGCACCATCGGCGTGCTCCTGTCTTCCAGCTTGTCGAGGTGAGGCTTGGTGTTCTTCACATGGCCGACGTAGCCAAATGTCCTGAGGAAGGACACATTCGGCTTGCGTCCATGCCAAGCCTCGAACGGCGTCTTGCCCTTCAGGGCCTTGGTGGGCGCGTGGTTGAGGATGAACACCGCTGTGGTCACCGCCTCTCCCAAAACTTTGTCGGCATGCTTTTGGCCTTCATCATGGATCGAGCCATGCCGACCACCGTCTGGTTCCGCCGCTCCACCATGCCATTCTGCTGTGGCGAGTATGGCGCGGTATGGTGTCGCACCACACCCTGATCCGCGCAGTACGCAGCGAACTCCACCGAAGTGAAACGCCGCCACGATCAGTCCGCAGCACGCGCAGCTTCTTGCTGCTCTCCGCCTCCGCGCGCCTTGAACTTCTTGACCGTTTCCGCTGCCTCGGTCTTGCTGGTCAGAAGCTGCAGCCACATGAACGGGCTGCAGTCATCCACTAACAGGATGAAGTACTTGCGCCCGCCATGCGTCGCCGACGTGATCGGCCTGCAGAGGTCACCATGGACCAGCTCGAGGGCCTCTGCCGCGCAGTACTTCGCCGTCTTCGAGAACGGCGCCTTCTTTGCTTCCTGACCTGGCAGCTGTCACACAGCTCGCCTGCGTGTTCGATATGAAGCAGCCCAGTCACCATCTTCTTCAGCCGACCAAGAGCGTCGAAGCTGAGATGGCCATACTGGCCATGCCACAGCCACGGCTCCTCCGTGTGCCGTGCAGCCAAGCAGATGGGCTGCTCCACCTTCAAGTCGAGTAGGTACAGCCGGTTCCGGGACCTCTTCACCTTGGCAAGAAGCCGCTGCTCCCGGTCCCTGATCCTGAGGACGCCGTCCTTGATCAATACCTTTCTGCCGCGCTGATCCAGCTGGCCAATGCTGATGATGCTTGAACGCAGCTGCGGAATGTAATATGCATCCATCTGCGCGCGGGGCTCGCCGTTCTAGCACCTGAAGATAATGGTGTCGCGCCCTCAGATCGCCACCCTTGAGCCGTCACCGAACTTCACCGTGCTGGTCACGTTGCCGTCGAGCTCAGAGAAGGCTTTCTTGGAGCCCATCATGTGGTTGCTGGTGCCGGAGTCCAGGTACCACCGCTTCTCCTGCTCGCCGCCCACACGTTCGCGGTTCGTCGAGGTTGACAACCTTCAGAACCTTGACGTGCCCTTCCACTGTCATCACCTCTTCCTTCTCCTTGGCCTTAACGTCGTGCGATGCACAGAACGTCGCCATTAGGAGAGTGGCCTCATCATCCTTATCAGCTTGCGCTAAATGAGCCTCAGTCTTCTTCTCTTGCTTACGATTTGGGCACTCCTTTGTCCAATGGCCCGTCTTCCCGCAGCGCCGGCAGGCGTTGGGGTCAACGTTGTTCTTCTTCTCCGAAGAAGCCTTGTCGCGGCGCTTGCCATCGCCACCGCGGCTGGAGGAGGCTTCCCTGGACTTCTTCTCCTTCATTCGGGTAGCCTACTCCTCCTCTGTCAACAACAGCTTCGTCGCTGTTCGTCGTTGTTGTGGCCTGCTCCATGCGCTCGTCCACCGTCCACAGACGGCTTGTCATATCCTCAATGGTGAGGGTGGAAAAGTCCAGCATCATCTCTATGGATAGAGCGATTTGGATGTACTTCACCGGCACGGAGTGGAGGTACTTGGAGACCGCCTCTTCTTCGTCGATGGTGACGCCGTGGCTCCTCAGCTTGCTGATGAGCAACTGCAGGCGGAGGGAGAAGTCCTCCACCGACTCACCATCCTTGAACTTGAGGTTGGCGTACTCCTACTTCAGCAGCTGGGCCGTCGCCTTCTTTGCGCACAACGGCTCTCTGTACTTCGCTGGCATAGCAGCGAGGATAGCCTCCAACGCTGACATGTCTTCTTCGTTGTCGGTACCCTTGTCAATGACATTCCAGAGTCGTCGGGTTTTGAGCTTGACCTTCATGGTCACCACTCACTCGTCATAGTTGGTGCGAGTCAGCGTTGGCAAATTGGTGCCGCTGACCTCCCGCACCGTGCGCACGACGACAATCTTCTGTCGTGGCTAGGCAGCCACAGCAGCGCCGCTGTTGTCGTCTATCTCTAAACCGTTCGTCATCGCCAGCGATTAGTCCGGCGACGGCGCTTGTACGGCTCTGATACCACTTGTTGGTCCCTCGGTTGCCCTGCACAGGTAAGCAGTAAGCTTACCAGCACACTCACTTGCTATGAGTAGAGGTAGAAGAAGATATTGAGAACAGCTCACACACACAGGACAAGCCCAGCGCTGGCCGAAAGCTATGCTTTTGGATGTGGCAAACTAAACTGCTCTTTTGTATTGCCTTAGGTGTGATATATATACAAATGCTAGTACCTCGTACATAGTTGTTGATTAGTACACCAAGTGCCTACTCTTATTACTAGTAGTACAAAGCTTAGATCAGGCTACTATCAAGACATGGATGATATAATAGCTATCAACTAATGTATTAGAGGTGACATATTATCATACTACTACAACAGTAGAGACTGGATAGCCGAGCTAACCAAATGCCAACTCTGCTACACAGCGAGAGAGATCAACAACAGATTATGTCTTACAGTGCAGCCTAGATTAGATGATTGAGTCTGCTATACAATTTGGGGCTCTGATTGGTTTGCTTGGAACTTAAACAGGGTGCAGCGACTACATGCTATGTGGCACTCCACCCGCAGGTGAAGGGCGTGTCCGGGAAGTACTTCTGCGACAGTAACCTGTACGAGCCAAGCGCGAAGGCCAAGGACATGGAGCTGGCCAAGAGGCTCTGGGATTTCAGCGTCGAGCTCGTCACCTAGCTGATGCCTCTCGTTGTTGCCGGCTTCCTTGTTGTCAGACATGGATGCAATGTAAATCCCTTGACGGATGGTAAATTCTCTAGGCCAGGTGTGGATCAGCAACCTGAACTCTGTGTATCATGTGTATCACGCACTCGACATTTGGCGGGTCGCCTTACCATTACAAGGGTAGCTGGTGATCGCATTGCTGCATGGGGATGGTGTGTGTTTCTGTGAAAAGAAATGTGCCTGCTACTGCTCGATGATAATGAATGATATGCTTCAGCTTGTGTTTGGCTTCGATTCGTTGTCGTGCGGTTTCTGAATCATTCGAACCCAACGAGAGACACTGTGCCCTTTGTCGGCTGATAGTACGGTACGGGGATCCCGAGCTAGAAGACGGGGACGGGTAATGGGCCCACGTTTTAATGGCCTAAACCTACTTTCTCCGTTCACGAAAAAATACAATTATCATATTTCGAGAAGTCAAACAGTTTCACTTTGACTAAAATTATATAAAAATATATTAACATTTATAAGACAAAATAAGTATTATTAAATTTGTTATAGAATATATTTTAATAATAAATTTATTTCGAGACATAAATGCTAATACAAAATTTTCTATAAAAAAAAAATTAGGCTAGTTTGGACTAGTTTGACCGGCACGTTTTTTATAATTGCATTCAGTGCTTGGGATTGTACGGGCTGCCCCGTAACCAGGCGGTTGGCGCTTGCGGACAGTTTGTGGTGTGGTGTTGGGCTGTTGGCACAGATCCATCCGCCCCCGAAGCACGACGGAGTAGCTGCCAACGTGGACAGGCGGCAGCCGCCCAGGCCAATTTGGTCAATTTGATCGCTGGTCCGTTCGCGCTTCTGGAGAAGACGAGGAGGCGAGGAGACCAAGCGGCACCCGGCAAGGCAAAGGGGGTCTTGACTCAGCAAGCAAGATATGCAGATAGCTGCTCTTGTTTTTGCCTGCTAGCTGCTAGTACTAGTACTTATCACCTATCCGGACCAGAGTCCAATCGTCCATCAACCAGAGCTGTGCTCTCCATCTTAACAGGTGACACTCGATTTGCCAAGCATTTCTGTATTCTTTTCAGTTGGTTTTATTTCTTTATTTCGTTTGCCATGAAACACAGCCCAAGCGTGTGTTCATCGGTTGAAGTACTGCTAAAGTAGTCAAGCTCCACCAATGGGTTCAGGAGAAGGCTGAAGTTTGCTTACAGGTGGAGAAGAGACGAGCGGGGAGAGAAACACATAGCGGGAGTCGCGTGCTGTAAATATATACCGCTAGGAGAGGAGTGGTATGGTATCGCCGTTCCTAAAGTCTGTATCTGATATCATGTGAACTGATTCTAACCCAGATACCAAAAAGGAAGGAACAAATGATAGCAATGGGAACCGATAACTAGGCCAAAAGCCCAAACCAAACGCCACTATGTGGGCCTATTGAAATCCTCTAAGGATCGTTTGATGATTTACAACGCAAGCATGAAGAGGATAGTTCTGTCTAGGGTTGAGTTCTCCCTCACTTCAGAGTTCAGACCTGGTAAATGGTGGCTGGCTAAGGAGATGGCAGAATTTCACTGCTAGAAATACATGTGCGGTTGTGCCCCCTAGACTACAGAATACACTGGTGGTTCTATTTGTATATAAGTTGTATCCGACAACAACAATTGAGTTCAAGGGTAGTAGTATCACACACTACCTTTTCTTTTTCTTTTTCTTGTTTTTCTTCCTCAACATTCAACTTCTACTAGGTCAATATGAGTATTGTGATACTACCATTGGCATCAGAGTTTAGCTAGAGTAGAGCAACCATTGGCCTAATCCAATCCCCTTTCTCTTGGGCTATTTACTTACTCAGGTGCACTGCTATATTGATGAATTACTTACATATGCACTTTGGTACTATGTAAACTTTCTGTTTGGAATTGTAAGTTATTTTTAGCTTTTTTTGATACGTAGTTTTTGCTAGGCACCTAAGTATTACTACATTAAATGTTTAATGAGGAAAACTTGTAGAGGGAAAAGAGTACAATGATCCTTAAACAAGTTATTGTTACACAAGATATTTTTGTTTTACAATCCCATATAGGTGTGGCAGAACCGGCCAATTTAACATAATCCCAAGTGTACTTGTCAGCCATTTGACACTAAGTACACAAGAGACTAAGTTATACCCGGTAGTCTGTCGAGTACACTCAATGGGAGAACTCGAAAATCCACGTTTTCATTAGGATCATAAACAAATGAATAAAGCTTACAACATTCTCGACCATTTCATACATCACAAGATTATAAAATCAGAGTTATTACAAAACATATTTCAAGAAAGCAGCGGAAGAAAGGTCATTTTACAAAAACAACGGAAACTAAACAATTTTGAATATTGAAGTAGAAGTAGAGATGTAAGAATAAACTTCTACAATTGCGATGACAAAGGAAGCCTCGCTGAGTCCACCAGGAGGTATCCACACACAACAACAGTTAGCTCCAGCATCCACCTGTTACCTGTAACAAGGGGAATAAAACCCTGAGTACACGATGTACTCCGCAAGACTTACCCAATTAGGTGGGAGTAGTCTCCCGACTCTCAAGGATATACAGGGGGCTATTTGGCTAGTTGTTTAGTTGTTTTTGTAGAGGAGCATTACTAATGGTGCATCCTTATATTCAAAGTTTTAGCAGTCCCATTGAGCTCATTACTTAACCATTTTGAGTAATCACCTGAACTACTTTTAAGCATGTGGTAAGCAATCAGAATATTTTTCATCATCGGCAGAAGCCTCATCATCTCCACGTTCTAGTTGTATTAACTACGATGATAGTGAAATGACAAGTGGTATCCATATCCGAGGAGGGCGGCGATTGCAATCGATGTACATCCAACTGGGCAATCCCAAACACACGCCAGTACTTCTCTCGACAGAGCATGTACAAGGTAACCATTCCAACCATATGACCAAGGCCCAAAATGACCTGATCACCCTAGGGAACCCACCCTATGAGGCCCGCCTCACGAACTGGCGACGGGTTTCCCCCTCATAAGTTTTACCATGGACATTCCCCTCCCAAAAACAACCGCTAGAATGGCTAGAGAAACACTCCGGTGAACGTTTTGCGCACCTGAGTCATAAGGAAGTACTAAGCTTCACGGTCAACTGTAACTCAGGCCCCCGTTATGTGTTTGGTACCTTCAAACTTGTTAAATGGCCACCAACGAACTGTCCTTAATCGACATAGGCGGGACTAATGCAACCAGAGCCTCGCTCTATTGCTATAACCAATCATATCCAAACCAAAGTCCAGAGTCCCGCCCGGTCTCCAATTGTTACCCCCATCCAAACCATGTGATAACAGTAACAATAATAGCCATGACCTATCTCTCACGAGTGACAGTCCATCACCCGACTTCTACCGTAAGTCATATAGCATGGCATACTACACGATCCTATCATACTAGTAGGACTCATAGGATAACATATTTATGCAGGTGGGTTTCAGACAACTCCTGCAACTTAATGCACACACATATGGTAATAAGTGCTTGAAAAATAGGTGTTATGCACCAGGGCTTGCCTGGGTAAACTTGTACGCTACTAAGTTAGTATCCCTCCATCTTCAGACACGATCATCCTTTGTCTTTAGGATTTGATCACCATTACACCGTCTTCTAGTTCGACTTCATAATCCACCAATTGATCCATCAACCACTATCGTACCTAAATGATATGCATGAATGCAATGCATGCTTAAGTCAAACAAGCATAACAAGACATTTACAAACACTACAAGACAAGCAACACGTCATCACGGTGAAGGGTAACTAAACGTTGGAGGTTCGACTCTCATCCTCACCTAGCGAGTTACTATTATCAACCTAACACAAGTGAGCAAAACAATCATTTGCATTTTAAACATACAAGTGAAAGCTTATCATAACATGCCGAGCACACTTCTACTTACTAAACACACTTTGCCAAGTCATCATCTAAAACAAGTAACATAGACAAACATATATTAACCCTAATATAAACACCTATCATATACAAAAGCTTAGATAATTACAACTAAGGAATAAAAAGGTGGCACACCAAACATCTCTTTTGGACATGAAAAATTTATAGTTTATACATCTTAACTAAACAACTACTGCATAAAATTCATAATTTTAGGATAAGCAGATTATTTACTAGTAGTTAATTAAGATTTAAATGCCAATAAAGCATGTGACACATGATGAAGCAATAACTCAGTAAATATGTATCAACCATGCATGAAATTTTTACCAGTGCACACACACATCAATACTAGTTTGCCATAAAATTTTCACTAGATTTGGACTATGAAAACATGCTCTATTAAATAACACATAAATAAACACATAAAAGCTAGATCTACTATACAACAAAAACTTTATACTAAAGAACATGATATTATATGTCTACTGCATAGATCTAGTCATGTGAAGACTAACAAAACCGGTTTGGCATTTTTAGGATTTGTCTACGATTTATTATGAATTTTCAAAGTTTTAGCCATATTATACTAAAAAGAAAAAGGAAAACCATATAAGAGAGACACATTTCACTAAGACCCCTGTGGTTTTCCTTAATTAACCCATGGACTAGCCATACTATTCATGTGAGTCTAGCTGTCAAGGTTATAATCCCCGGGTGTCTCAAGGCACCGATTAATTAGCAGTCCGAGCGGCCCACGACACATCAGCCAGCAAAGGCCCGAACAACCGAGGCCCAGCTAAGCCAAGCAGAACATGCCTGACACCAAGGTCAGGGTCGGCCGCGACCCCTTCTTCTGCCTTAGCCACATGGCGCGCAAGAGATTCACGACCTCTGCACCATCCCGACCCCAGGGAGGGACGGGGAGAGGTCAAGCCCAACCTAATGTGCCCGCTCTGACAAGAGTAGGCACGCCGCACTGACCCCACAAGGACTGAGGGGACAACGGTCACCTCGGTTCGGTTAGACACCATCCCTGTGCCATGCAGCTCA